CGGGGTCGGGGAGGGTGGGTGGGGGGCGGAAAGCGGACGCCGACATGGACGACAAGGCGTTCACCAAGGAGCTAGACCAGTGGGTCGAGCAGCTGAACGAGTGTAAACAGCTTAACGAGAACCAAGTACGGACGCTGTGCGAAAAGGTAGGAGGGGTGAAATGCGGAGCGCTGGGCGGCGGCCCGGGCCCGGCCCGGGAGTGTGCGCGGCCGATGCAGGGGCCCGCGTCCGCGCGGCTTCGGGTCCCTCTTCCAGCCCGCAGGCCGGAGCGGACCCTGCCGGGCTGCGGGCGCTGAGCCATTGGCCGGGCCGCTCGGCCTCTTCGCCCGGGCCCACGCGTAGATCGCCGCGTCTCGGAGCCGGCTGTAGGTGGGCGGAAGAAGCCGGGCACGGTACCGGGCATCCCGGGCCCAGGTTTGATTAGTGTCACATAGTTCTGGGCAGTTCGTGTCACTCCAACATTTCACATGTGGACCAGCAGTGACATCTCATTGGAATGCCCCGGAAACTAATCGTGATCTTGTTGGAAATGCATTGGTAATTGACCTGAGTGGTGTTAATGACATGATTTAACGTTGGGTTTTCTCCAGCGAATGGGAGCGCCTAAAGAATCGCAAACTTGGGAAACGTCTAGAATTGGCGGCAGAGGAGGTGGGGATGATGACAAAATAGCATTTTAAAATAGAGATTGACTGGGTTAAACAGATGTAACTGGCTTTCAGAGTGAGCGTCTCTTAGAAGTAAAATGGTGATTTTCAGAAACAAGACATCAAGGCTTACTTCGGAAGTAGTACTTGCTTGAAATAATAAATGTGATCAGTGTTCTTCGTATTCGCATCAAACATTTTCATAGTCGTTTTCACTTATATAGTAAGCCTACTGTATACAGTCTTCCTTGATTGTGCAGGCTTAGCAAGCTCTCTGAAATCTGTTTTCATAACCACTGAAATTATTTCAATTTCTCCATCTTGTTTGCTTTAAATCAAGGCTTTTTTAACTTTCTTTTTTTTTTTCATAGTTACAGACCAAGTAGTTTAATTTTCACATATTGTTAAAAGGCCCCATTTGAGGCCCGTGAAAAAGTAGGCCATTTTTGCTTTAATACTGATAGAAATAGGATCTTCATAACATTGAACTGCCAAGTAAATAGTTTCTTTGTAGCTTTAAGGAGACATTTAATTTCATGAATAATAGCAAGTTTTAAAATTGGCTGATTGTATTAGCTTCCTTTGCACATTGTGTGTTATGGATAACAGATAGTTTTGTTGGTTTCTGACTTTCTAAGAATTGTAAGAGATATTTCTAGAGAAGCAATGTGTGCCCCTTTGAAGTAATCTGGAGTCATACATACATTCGCGGGAATTTTCTGTATATCTATCAAGAGATTGCATTTTCATTGGGACTGCCACTTCCTCGGACGTTATCGATAGGCTTAAGCTTGTGTTTTGTACTTTTCACTTTTTACCGCCACATATGTGTACGTACTGATTCACAAGGTGAATTTTCAAATGAAGATTCCCACCCATTACCTTTTTCCCTCCATAGGACAGAGATGTGGAATATTTGCAAGTTCTTTTGTCCACTCTTTCAAACAATGCTTAGTTTTGCAGGTGTCTTATAGCAACTGTAAACCCAAACCAGACTCACTGCCCTCAAGTCAATTCCAGCTCATAGCAGCCCTATGCGGCAGGGTAGAACCGCCCTGTGGGTTTCCGAGACTAACTCTTACTGGGAATAGAAAGCTTCATCTTTTTTCCTATAGCAATTTTGGTGTCTCTTTAAATAAAAGGGGCTCTGGTTTCATTTCATATCCCTACCTTTGTCCTCCTCCTTCCTTATAAAAGCACCTTGAGTTGTCTCTGTATCTGAATTTAAGCCCTGGCTTCATAGCTTATCAGTCTCTTAAGTACTTCTAGAAGATTCCTTCTTTGTAAGACATGAATAACATGACCTATAACCTGGATGGATTGATTGTGCATTTTAAGTAAGATAATACCTATGTATTGTCAGTGAATATTAAATGGAGAAAAAAAAAGAAATATAGCTCTTTCGTTTTAAATGTTACCTCAACTTCATTTATTAGGGTGGTGGGGGTGGGGAGAAACACAAAATAAATGTTGGCATAGTAAGTTACCTCTTGGACTGCTCACTGCATGGTCAGTAGTTCAAACCCACTAGCTGCCGCACAGGAGAAAGTTTTACAGTCTTGGAAACCCGAAGGGGCAGTTCCGCTCTTTCCTCTCTGGTTGCTATGAATTGGAATCAACTTGTTGGCTGTGGGTTATATCAAATATATCAAAACTTTTCAGTGGAGAATGTTTGATATATAGTAGCCACGACCAAAAACAAGAAAGAAAACCCCACTGCTGTGAATGAGAGCAATCAGTCCCAGAGGACAATGTGGAACCACAGCGTTTCTGAGGTGGTAAGTTTTTGTGAAGCACGTTGCCACATCTTTCTCTCAGAGAGGAGCTGGTGGGCTCAAAGCACCAGCCCTGCTGCTGGCAGCCCAGCACTTAACACACTGCACCACTAGAATGTGTCTAGTGGCCCTCGAGCAGTGGTTCTCAACCTTCCTCATGCCAAGACCCTTTAATACAGTTCCTCATGTGGTGGTAACCCCCAACCATAAAATTATTTTCATTGCTACTTCATCACTGTAATTTTGCTACTGTTATGAATCAGGTGATCCCTGTGAAAGGGTCGTTTGACCGCCCCCCAAAAGTGGTTGGGATGTCTAGTGGCTCTGCTGAAGCTGGCTGCAATTATATGAGGTAAAACTGCTCCCAACTTGACCCAGGACCAAGATTCACAGAAGACCATTCCCTTCCTGGTTGAGAATCGCAGCTATGTAGGAAAAAATAAAAAGCCAAACCTAATAATCATTCACTTTTTGTTTAGTTCCTTTCCACTAGACTGTACTTCAGTTTTTTGTTTTAATCGTTTTATTGGGGGGGTTGTTTTGTTTTTAGAATTTTTTTTGCATTTTTTTGAAAATGCACCTCTACTGAAAATTACATTAAAAGGATTTTTACCACGGTGGTGGTGGTGGTAGTTTTGCCCTGGAAATTTCTATTCTAGCTCAGATTGCCTGAGAACTGAAGTAGTCGGCTTTCACATTAAAATAGTATTAAGTAAAGTTCTTATTTTGAGGTAGTAACAAAAATAAAACTCCTAGTACCACTGAAAGAATAACTACCAAAAAATATGGAAATGACTAGTATGGTAAGTCTCTCTGGTTTTCAGTTAATTTCTATGTAGTGAAAAATAGTTTACATAGTAAGGTATATCTTCCATACATGCGAGCACAAACTTCAATTAACAAAGTGGTGTTTTACCTAACCCTGTGTGAAGACATTGCTTCTGTGGGGCATTCCTGCAGCAGCTTGCGCACAGTAATCTAAGTGTGCCCCAGAGCCAGACCGAGGCTGACTGCTCAGGTCAGTCTGCGACTGGAGCTATATTTGACTCTTGGTTAAAGCTCTGGCGGAGTATAAATGTTAGGTTTTTTTACCTGCTCGCATTCTCTTAACAATTGAAGAAGCTTGGTAGTGATACTTTAAATGGGGAAATGCTGACAGGTCTTTTATTCTGACAACTCTAAAGAGCCTGTATATAAACATTTTGAGGATTGTGTAGCAGTATAAATAAGTTTAATTTATATTAAACTGATGGATATTTCTAGGCTCTGGTTTCACCCCCAACATCAATAGAATATTTTCAAGTATTTACTTACTTCATTTACAGTGTGAAATAGGGTACTAAATTCCTCAATACCAAAAACCATCTTAGTTTTGTTGTTGTTGATTTTAGCTGCCATCACACAATCAAACAGAATGCTGCCTGATCCCAAGCCATCCGCATAATTGATTGTAAACAATTGTGACCCATTGAGCTTTCATTGGTTAATTTTCAGAACTCAATCACCAGGCTTTTTTTTCCTAGCACATTTTAGTCTACAAGCCTCCACTGACAGCTGGAGGCTGCACGCGAGATGGCTGCATCAGTTCAGAATCAGTCTCCTAATGGGAAGGCAAAGCATACTGTAATGATTAAATGCTGATAGAAATGAGCATTTTGTATGTGAGTCAAAAATCCCAGGGATTGCTGTTCTACAGTAGGCTACAGCTAAAAATTTGTGGCCATGATTTTAAAAATTAACTCAAAATGGATCAGTGAGCAAAAAAAAGTGGTAATTCTAAAGCATATACATAATGCTCCATGACCTTGAATTTAGAACCAGGAGGACAAGAGAAAAATATAAACATAAAAGTTTGGAACTTTGTGGATCAAAATATAATTAAGAAAGAAAAAAGATACGGTTAACATTGAATTGTGGGTCCCCACCACCATATTATGGTTTAGAATCCTAATTCCTACACCCGTGGATGTAATCCCATTTGGGCACAGGGTTTTCTTTGTTATGTAGCTAAAGTCATACTAGTGTTGGCTGTGCCCTAAACTTGATCCCTTCTCAGTTAAGAAGGAGCCAAGCATGGACACAGACAAGGAAGCACAAAGTGGGCAGTGGATTAGATTGCAGTTGAAGGTGATTAAGGAACTCAGGCTGCTGCAGCAAGCTAAGACTAAGACTAGGATCTTCCCCCCAAGCTGTAAGAGAGAGAGCCTGCCCTAAAGCTTGTGCCTTGAATTCAGACTGAAGGCCTGCTAAGCTGATAGAAATTAAGCGTCTGTTCTTTAAAACTGCCCATTTGTAGAATTTCTATTAAAGTAACACTAAGAAACTAAGATGCTCAAACATAACAATTGTGGGGATGGCCCAAGACTGGGTGGTGTTTCATTACGCAGGGCATGCCACTATGGGTGTTGGACCCCACTCAATGGTACCTAACAACAACAAAAAACTAAGGCAACAACCCATGGAATGGGAGAAAATATAGTCAAAATTATCCATCTTTTCCTTAAACTGCAAGTTTGAATAAGAATCATTTACAACAGGGGTTCTCAACCTGTGGGTTGTGACCCCTTTCACAGGGGTCACCTGATTCATAACAGTAGCAAAATTATAGTTATGAAATAACAGCGAAAATAATTTTATGGTTGCGGGATCACCACAGCATGAACTGTATTAAAGGGTTGCAGCATTAGGAAGGTTGAGAACCACAGATTTACAAGAAAAGCAAGA